TAACTTAGACAAGGTGATGCAGTGCATTTAGGCTGGTTAGATTTAAGGAAGGAGTTTCATTTGCCACCCAGTACGAACCAGTTGCCAATGCTGGAAGTCATATAGCAGAGGAGGAACCAGCTGATCAAGTCCAATGATGGGTTATATTCAAAGGGGTGTCTCTAAGCAAAGAGATGCTTCTCACACTGTTCCTCCACCCCAGCCTGGGGATGACCTCACTAATGGTAATAGCAAGCAGTGCAGGGCTGGGAGCATGGAGTCATCATGCCTGGGATGCCTTTTTGGGAGAGACACGGCCACATCACTAGCAAAACACTGGGGAAGCTCTCACTTGGAAGATCTGCCCAAGGATGCTGTTTTGGAGACATGCCTCCAAACTTGTGCAAGGAAAAGGAGAGAACTGCTCACAAGCAGAGACTGAAAATTTGGTGGAGGCATCCAAGCACAGATATTTTGAGACAATTTTCAAACATGCTACCAGGAGCAAGACACTGGTTTGAGACGACACTGGGGAAGCATACCAAAGACTGACCAAAGGTGGCCTCTGAGTTAGGAGCTGAAACTGGCTCTGTGTGTCACAAAAGGAGGCATTCAGCTGGGCCATGTGTGTGCCACATGCATGTGTGCGCCACGTATGTGCTACGCTGCACGTTTTGCTGGTAGCCCGCAGGGGTCAGGAACAAATTTCTCTCCTTTGCTATAAACTTTGGCAGCTGACTTGTTGGGTTATTTAATCCTGCTGCAGATTGCTGTGGTTGGAGACAGAATACAGGGCTCTGTGTTTTCAGTGATACTCAAACAACTTCGGCATCACTGCTAGGGCTGGGGTTTGAAACTAACCACTAGGCTCGGGCTTAAGGGAACTTCTCCAGGCCACAGGGACAGGGAGTGGGCACGGATGATGGACTGCACCCTACACACACTGGAGGGTTTTATCCAGTCCTGCACGGAACTGGTGATGCTCTCCAGCCTGCGAGATGTTCAGGAGCCCTGATGTTGGGCTTGAGGCAACCCAAGTGCTTCCGCTCTACAGCCTGCGAGATGTTCAGGAGCCCTCATGTTGGGCTTGAGGCAACCCAAGTGCTTCATTTACGGCACGTGGGAGACATCAGGGACTGTGACAGTTTCAGCAAACACACCCCAGCTTCCAAGGAGCAGGTGGGAGACATCAGGGACTGTGACGGAGTTTCAGCAAACACACCCCAGCTTCCAAGGAGGGCAAGCTCAAATCCTGCCCTGAATAAGCCTTTCACCCCTCTTTGTTGCCTTCCTCCTGCAAGACCACATCTTTTGGCCAGTGAAGTCCTGTGCAGGAGTTAAGCGCAGCCCCAAGCTGGCCCACAACCAGGCGGAGCAGCGCAGGGCTCGGGGCTGCACCAGCTCAGCCCTGACCGCCATGCACAAAAGCATGTTCCCAGCAGTGCTAATCCAATTACGAAACAAACTTCCTTCCTTCATTATCAGGGCCTGCAGCATGCGAAAACAGCTTGGTGATTATGGAGGGTTTAGCAAGGGACTAGAGATCAGGCGATGAATGACAGAGCTGTTTCACTGGCAGGGAGGAGAGGCAGAGAACAGAGGCAGTGGGAGGACACAAGGGATTGTCCTGACAAGTGGATTGGGAATTGCGACAGACAAAGGTCTCTGGTCAACCTTCATGCTCCCAATGGGGTTAACCTCAAAACCACATCAGGTTGCTCAGGCCCTTGTTCTCCTGGGGATTAGCATCCTCATGAATAGGGATCCCCTGTGCCTCTCCACTGCTGTCACATGGCTGCCCCCCCCCCCACCGCGCCTG